ATACTCCTGACACTTTAATATGGGGGGAGGATACAGCACAGACATCTCATACAGAATTATAATCCATGAAAGGGCACTGGTGGCATAAATTAAAGGTAATCTACCAGGCAAGGAGTTTAACAGCTGAAGCGAAGCGGGCTGGGGTAGAGGAGGGCTGGTGGTGCAATGCAGCCATATTCACGCAGCGGGGGCTGCTATGGGGTATTGGGGAGAGAGCAGCCCCTAGCTGGGGTGGGAAGGAGCAGCCAAAATCTACCCACCTCCAAACTGCTTTGCAAAGGCTATCTGCAGAGCTTGCACTTTGTGAATTAGATAAACACAATTCTCAGTTTGCTGATAGTTCCAGCACAGTGACACGGCCTGATGAGGGGACGGGGACAGGGACTGCTCACTGTGGGACCTCAGCCCCTGAGCACAAACGTCCCTGCCAGCCCATGGTGAGAGGCTGATGAGGTGCGCAGCCAACCGCAATGGCGTGAGTGCTCATTCGGAGCCATCCCTGCTCTCTCTTCTGGGAGAGGGAGTGAAAGCAGCAGCACAGATCCGTTTTCTGCACTGGGTGACATCCTCAGCCCGTACCGGCAGCTCTGAGGTCTGTGCTCCTGCTGCCTCAATGAACGTGAACACTCACCTGCCTCCGTGTGAGCTGCACACCCCAAGGCTGTGCAGTGTGTCCCTGACAATAGCACGCTAGTGTGGTGCACGGCTGAACTTCCCCATTCCTCCATGCAGTGATGGAGGTGACCCTACCCCACACCACGCATGGAGTCATGCCTGTTTCCTTGGCTGAAGGGGAATTACTCTACAGGGGTGTTTCCACTTACCAGAAAGTATAAACAAGAAGACAAGTGCTGGTGAGCACTCACCACAGCTCCCAGTGAGGCACCAGGGTGGGCGTCTGGCCGGCAGCACGGCATGGCCAAGGGGCAGCAGGTGGAACAGGGACAGAGATGACCCCAGGTTAGATGGGAAGGTCTGGGCAGGCTTAGCCTGGACCATAATCCTGATACAAATATGCCAACACTGATTTTCTGAAACTCTATCAATAGCTGAGCAGGCAACTCTGACTTGAACCCACCCTGGTCTGTGGTAACGCTAGAGCTGGACTGCATTATGTTTTCATTTAGAAAATGTTTCCCTTTGTCATTAAAAGTGGAATATAAACCAGTCCTTTCTGAAAATGAAGACACAAATACGCTGCTGGGAAGGTGGTGGTAAATCTCCACGAAGCCCATGGTGATCTCGGACCAACCCAGGTGCTGTCCTGCGGTTTCTCACCACACAGGTTGCTCTGGACATAGCGATGGCAGAGCCTGTTCAAATGTGAAGGTGCTGCTCCAGGACTGTCCAAGCAGCTCCACAGCCCTGCCTGAAGTGCCCTTTTGGGGTGTCCAGTGGGATGTGCCTGCTCCAGGGCGTCCCCAGCACCCCTTCCCATGCCCAGTGCTGCAAGGAGCCTTTGACTCTGAAGCTGACAGATCTCTGGGGGCAGGCAGCAGGATTTTGATTTAAGTTCATACAGCATCTGGCCCAGATTAAGATTTTTATTTTTTCATTGTAATTGGGATCATTACTATAATTGGGGGAAGCAGCTAGTTTCTTCCTCAAGGCTGCATAAGGGCAGTCCATCCCTTCCTCCAGGCATGCAGTAAGTTGCAGGTGGTTGGGATCCCAAATTGGAGTTGACTTTGGGTAATCACGAGTAAATACATTCAGGTTTGACGACATCATCACTCCCTTTAAATGCTCTTTGGCTGTGGTTAGGGAATGAGCCTTTGCAAACCAGTGGTTGGTAGGGCTTTGCTCTGCTGGGTGTTGTTATTTGTTTATTTTGAAAACTGCTGTGCAGGGGTTTGCTGCCCTGGTAAAATCCCCATTAAAATGATGAAATCAGCTGATGGGTTGTGCCTGCAGGCAGCCTCAGAGTTTGTTGCTCTGTGCCACCCTGTGCACATGGCATTTCTGTGCATGTTATTACTGAAAATGAGTACCAGTGGGCAGGGGTGCAGGGGATCCCTGACAGTGCTGTGATGGATTAAGATGATCCTGAATTTCCATTGTTTTGTAGTGAATGTAGTGAGAATTGATGGCTGTTGTCTCCAAGCAACAAGAGGGAGGGTGAGATAGTTTCACCTTCTCCAGGACCATAATATCTTTGCCAAGGTGCAGCTCCGAGCCATGGAGTTGTCTTTTGTATTTGTTAAGTCTTGGTATTATCTCTGTGAGCAATAAAAAGGGAATAGAAATCTGTACCTTGGGATGGTGTGTAAATTTCTCTTGAGTTTGCGTCAATTTGCATTTGGTCTCTGGCTTTTGCATAAGATACGCTTGTTGCCTTGGATAGTCTGGGTGCCAGAAATGTAAATGGATTTTAAAAAGCAATTAGGCAAATTTGAGGAAGAACAGTTCATTTCCAGTATTTAAATGTGATGCAGTGGCTAGAGTGCTGGCTGGACAAGCCCCTGGCTGCGGGGTGGTGGGAATGGGAGGGTTCAGTGAGAGAAGAGCTGGTGTCTGCTGGGGTATCCCTGCTCCTCTCCGCAGGCCCTTTCCCCTGGGAGAGGTTTCTGGTCTGGTGCTATGGGTGCCTGCAAACCTGTCCCTTCTTATTTTCTGCAGCAATATTAGACTGCAAAGATGCTGCAGAGAGATAGATTAAGGCACACAGCATCTCCTGAGCATGTCTGCTCACAGAGAGTCCTCATGTCCCAGGATTTACCTGTGCGGTTTATTAACCCTGCTGTGAGTGTACAGCAAGATGCTGGTTTTGTGTGCTTGGGAGTTATCCTGTGGTGAAATACTGTTTCCCTCCTCTGAGTGCACATCAGTAGCAGGTGTCCTGTTCTCTGTGTAACCTCACTTTGTGGCTCTCTGGGATTTTGGCAGCACCCTGTGCCCAGGGCTGGCTGAGCGTGGGGCTGGTGCTGCTGAGGGCTGGCCTGGGGCAGCTCTGTGGGGAGCAGCAATTTGGGCAACCACAGCAGGTATTGCAAAAACAGTGTGTTTCCATGCAGACAAATAAGCCAGTGCATAAAATGCAGGAAAGGGGGTTTGTTTGTCTGTTTTTATTGTTTCCAGTTCAGCCGAAACTTTGTTTGGTTGTGAATACTCTTGTGGCAACACTGTGCAAAAATATCAGGTTCTTTTTGCTTTGGTGACGTGGCCTATTGGTTACGGAAGTTTCAGAAATGGCTACTCCAAAGGCAGCAAACAAGGCCCCCAGTGGGTGGCCCTCTGGCATAGCCCTTTCAGCCTTAACAAAACCACTCTTTGCAAAAATAAATGCATGGAAGCAGTTGTGCTTCCTGAGGTGTGTGTTTTACACCTTGAGCTTCCTGATTTGGCTGGAGTGTGCGTCTAGGCTGTGTTTGCACTGGGAGCCGTAGGGACACTCAGATACAGCAGCATCAAAGCGTTTGTAGTGTGGGCCCAATACGCTGGCAGAGTGTCAGGGGAGTTGTTGTTTTTGGGAGATTTTGGTGTGTGGTTTTGTTTTGTTCTTTCACTTGTCTCTCCTTCTCCTCTTCCCCTCACTGAGAAGCAAACCTGGCAGAACATCCTTTGCCCCAGCGTTGTGGGTGCAGGCTGTGGCACAGCCCTGGCTCCCTCCGGAGCAGAGCTGTGACTCCTAGGAGCAGTCCAGGCTGAAGCTCAGCCCTGGAGAGCCCAGAGGAAGAGCAGGACCCACTTGGGATGGCAGCAGCCAGCCCATGTCCCGTTCTTCCCTCTCTGCCGCGGTTTGGGGCTGTTTGCGCCTGGAGCAGCAGGGAACCAGCAGACACATTCACAACTGTCCCCAAGTTTTCTCTCCTGCCTCAGTTCAAAGGGGTCCTCTCGAGCCTCCTCGAATTTTGCAGCAAGTGCCAATGATGATGCTTTCCACATCAAAGAGGGGCAGCCCCGAGCCGTAGGCAAATTAAAGAGGCATTGGGAGCTTCAAAATCTGCTTTAGCCAGGCAGTGCCCACGTAATCAGCACTTGAAAAAGGTTAGATATTAAGGTGACAGATATTAAAGCAAACCCTCGTTGGCTTCAGTGGCTTTTGTATTAATGATGACAAATCTTGGAAGTGGTGGGTTTTGCACAGAAAGGGACAATTTTGCACCTAAAGTCATACTGCTAGGGAACCAGAAAGGAAAAAGGCAATCCTTTTCATTGTGGTGTTTATTGCAAAATACAGTCCAAAATCCAACTCTCCAGGAATACTTTCAAAATACATAGAGAAAACAGATTGTGCTAAGCAATAATACAACTTATTAATAAACAAAGTTAGACATAAAGAATTCTGAATTCTTATCTGCTAATTTTTTTAAAAAAGTATAGCAATTGTAAACAATTTTATCCAGTACAAATACATGAAGCTACTGTCCATTTGGGGCAAGGGTTCTGGTACCAGTACACAAAATATAAAAAGGGGAAGGGAAAATACGAGATCTGTAAACACTGGCTTGAAACCTATCAAAGCCTTAGAAAGGCTGCAGCCACCGTAATACACACCGTGATGCTGCAAAAGCCCCTCTCACATCAGAAAGTGCATCAAGTTTCCACTAGAAAAGCTGCTGAGCAGCCGCTGTGCATGAGCCGCTGGCCCAGGGCTGCTGGGACAGAGCCACCCAGTGGGACCCACTTTTGGCCACAACCCTGGTCCCCACCACTGGCCTCAGCTGACCCAATGGATGTGGCACAACGGGTTGAGCCCACCAAAAAAGTTAAATTCTTCCATCTGCCTGATACACAAATAAAGTGACTCCCAAAACGAAAGAAGCTACTGGTAAATACTGAGGAAAAACTGTGGAATCAAGAAGGACCATGGTCGCTCAGTGCCTGCGCCTTGTGCTTCCTAATCTCCCAGCAGCTATCTGCGAGAGGCCCTGTGGCCTTGTGCAATGCCCTGCTCACCCATCCGGACCCCAAAACTCCCCAGGGACGCTCTTTCCCACCCCAGCTCTGCCTGTGGCTGCCGAGCACGGGGAGACAAAGCATCCTCCTTGGGACGCTTTCTATCTCTTGTGGCCCTTGTTCCTCCGCTTGGTGTGGTTGGGGGGGCCGGCGGTGTCGCGGCGGACGCAGAAGTGCTTGGCCACCAGCTGCCGGCACTGCTCGCACCGCACGGTGCAGCACCAGTGGAACTTGCAGTTGCAGCTGGCCACCACCTCTGTTCTCCTCTCCTCCACACGCAGCCCGCACTCAGTGCACAGCCGCCGGCAGCTCCTCTTCTCCCACTGCGAGAGGTTCTTGCCGGTCTGCAGGCACTCACGGCCCTCGGTGCCATGGTGGCCCAGGCTGGCGTTTCTTGTGCAGTAGTCGGGAGAGTCCTCCAGGAAGACGAGCTCCGTTGCGTGGACGTGGTGGAAGGTCTCCGCCGTGGCCCCGCGGCTGTCGGCGCTGTTGCCGGCTCTCATCCGCCTCTTGTCCATCTCCAGCTTGTGGGCTTGGTCATATTTTATCTTCAGATAGTTCCCGATCTCACGAAACTCAGCCAGCTGGAGCCAGCAGGTCTGGATGCTGCAGCTGCCCGACACCCCGTGGCACTTGCAGGTTCGCTTCATTGTGGCTTTCACGGCCTTGGTGGAAAAGGTGGAGAAATTAGGAGCAGCACAGCATCATTATATAAACGCCTAAGCCAGGCTCTAAAGCATTTGTAATTTTGGGGGCAATGGGCCAAAAGTGGCTCATGCTGGGCACAACTTCAGGTCCTTCCAGGACAGGAGCTGATGCTCTTATTTCAGTTCCCGGAAAACATCTGTCCCTCTTTGCTACTTAAAACGACAGAGCTAATGAGTCTGCAGACTTGCAGGTGCTGTTTCTCCAGGACAGGAAAAAAGCACATTTGTTGGGTCATGCCCTTCTCCTGTCAGTCTGCAGCTCATGTCCCTCATCAGAGCACTGACCCATCATCCCTCTCAGAGGTTTCATTCAGAACGTGTGAAACTGCTTGGGAATAGTCATACCCAACCTCTCTGCATCTCCTCCGGGCCAGGCACTTCACAGATATTATCTACCTATCTCCCTCTGGTATTTATAAGGTCCCAATCACTGGCATCTATGTGAGATTAAGCCTTGACACACCCTATGAGATAGGTATGTTAAGTGTTGCCGTCCTTGTTTTTACAGACAAGGAGGTTTGGCAAGATGCTGAGAGCCTGCGCCGGCCCAGGCAGGGAGCAGGAGGCGAGTCTGGCAGCCAGCTCAGAGCAGGGCCAGCTCACACCTGGCTTCCCTGGCCAATTAGCTTGGAAATGCATATTGCAAGAAAGTCAAGGTGGTTCTTGCTTTGTTTTACAGACCAGACAAGCACTAAGTGAGTATAAAACCTGTGCATTTTTTAATAAGTGGTGTGTGCCGGTAGTTACCTGCCTTACACACAGCTGCAGAAGCTCAAAGTGGGAACAGCTCTCACTGCAGTTCCCTGAGTTCAGGTTTCGGGCCAGATTCTGGCTGTATATTTTTTTTCCCCTGGCAAACACTACAGGGCCTAGATTGTCACAGAGGGCTAGAGAAAGGGACCTGAACAGCCCACCAGACTCTTGGATTTTGTTTTCTATATAGTCATTATTATTATAATAAATATTTGACTTACAAGTCTCCCGACTTCATTGTTGTGCAGGTTAATCAGCGCGCGGGTGTCGTGTCCTGTTTCCAGAGCATCCACAAAGAGCTTGGAAATCCTCTCCCCAAAGTCCACATTGTCGCTGCATCCTCCCCAGACCCAGCCTCGGCCACCTGCAAGACAGAAACACGCTCAGAGCAGAGCCATCCCATTGGGCCAAATTCTGCCCTGAAATCCTGGGCAGGGGTGTGAGAGATGCTATCAGCCCCTCTCTAGGCAGCAGCTCACCAACGCGGCCGTTCCTGGAGTCATCGCAGCCGCAGCTCTCAAAGTCGCCCATGCTGCAGTTCCTGGTGAGGGTGTACATGACGCCAGCCGAGCTGATGGCGTGTACGAAGGATGTTTCCCGGGTAGCTGGAGGAGAGGAGGAAAAAAAGCTGTCACATGCAAACACAGACATCAGTCCTGGTTTATTGGGAACGAAGTGCTCCTGTGCTGCAAAGGTGCAAGAAGGGAAAAAACCCCCAGTTTGTGCAAAAGGTAAGGTGCTACAGAAACGAAGACTGGAGCCTCTTCAGGCTTCAGCACTAAGGTTTTCAGCAATTTGGCATTATAGTCTGCAGGTGTCCATGCATGGGATGGGGTTTCTTGGCAACAGCAGGATCTTACGGCAATGCCCCAACCCTGCTCTGGCCAAGGTTGGTTGCCACTCTCTTCACCTGGTACTCAGTTTGTCTCTGTCCTTTCCTGCCCAAAGGGTACGTTTGTGCTTTGATCTCGCTTGCTGGGGAAAAATCATGATTGATCTTGTTTCAGTCAGTGGTTGAACCTGTGCTAACGGCTGTCTGCACCCACGCTTCTAATTTAGTTTCTATTTTGGCTTTCCTAACAGATTCAAATAGAGATGCTGCTCTGGGAAAAAAAGAGATTTCTCCTCATTGTAGATAGTATTGAAATATATCCACAACTTTCTTATGAAGGCAGTTTCTCAGTGCAGGTCTCTGTTTTCTCCCATTGTTTCCCCTGCGCATCTCCCCATTGCAAGCTCAGGTGCCTCTGGCATTGCGCTCCCTGGGATGCTGCACACCAAGTGGCAGGAGCAAGCCCACGGAGTGGCACTGCGGGAAGGACCAAGCTCTAGCCTAGCACGGATAGAGATGCAGAGACAGCCTGGGATTCCTAGAAAAATGTTATTAAATATAATAAATGCTATTTATTATACCTATTAATACAGACACACAACCATGATTTCTGCAATGCCAAAGCCCTTTTTCATCAGTCAATTTAATTAGCAGCTGCAGCTCTCTCCAGAGTGCATCCCGGCTGGTACTCAGAGGCATCCCGGGATGGGATGCTGGTGCTGGCAGGGAAAGACGCACTCACCGCTGCGGAGCCGGTTGTGGGTGGAGAGCTGCAGGGCGCTCTCGGGGCAGTTCCAGCGCTCCCACCCAAACTGGAACTTGCACTCCTCCATCCCACTGTGCGCCCCGGCTGCCACGCTGCTGGAGTATGTCAGGTAAGCCTGGCATGGGAGACAGCGGGGTTAAAATGCATCAGTTTTACCATTTATCAATGAAAACAGACCTTAACGGGTTGTGAGTCCTTTCCCTCAGCAAGACTTGGAGTCAATATGCTCCAGGAAATCAGGTTCCTTGGAAAAGTCCCATTTCCCGTTTGCAAAACAAAATTGCTCTGCTTAAATTCCTGACAGTCTCTGTGTTAATTACCTTAGGTCCTGTCATCAGAAAGTTATTCACAGACCTGAAACAAAGAAAAGAAAATGAATCGCACAATTTATCTCAGGCTGATGAGCATCCCTAAAAACTGCCCTTTCCGCTGAGTTGGCCCCTACCATGCCACTGCATGGAGAACAGCGCTGTAGACGCCTGTGATGGAGAGGATGAGGAAGGTGCTTCTCTTCATGGCTGTCACAAGGAGTGGGGTTGGATCCCTGTTGCTGATCCGTAGCTCTCCGCACCGCAGGGCCGCCTCCCTCCACTCCTTCCCAAGGTGAGCTGTCAGGATGGAAGAAAGCTGCAGGAGCCTGATATTTATAAGGTGAAGCTGTGAATAGTCAAAACCCCCCATTCATTTGCTACCCAATGACTTAATGTGGTAAAAAAAAGCTCCTGCTCCAATGGGTGACAAGGAACCGCCTAAGGTTGCACTTCAAAAGGCAGTGCGGTGTCCCTGGGAGCGGGATGGTCTGAAGAAGAGCAAACTTCCCTAACAATGGGACACTTTTAACTCTCTTCCCCTCTGCCACCATCCCATTCTCTTGGCCCCAAGTCTGCTTGCCTTCTCCTTTTCATCCTCTGCTTGCCAGCGGAGGCTCAGTCCCTGCGTCCCTCCGAAATAACAAGCAGATACATTTCTATAGTTCCCCTGCTATCTGCCTGCTCCCTCCTATGAGAACTCCCCGAGGAGTTTTAACAACCATTCTGTGAAGATCTATAGGGGATATACCTCCCAGGTCTTCTTGATTTGAAGAGATGCATTTAACAGCGGAACTTTTTTCCCTCCTTGCCTTTTTATGATGAAAGTTTCTGCATTTCCATCCTGATAACAGCGTGCACAGCTTGGGAGTGTTTGGAAATCTCTCTAATTTACGCGGCTGCAGCTTGGGAACACTGCGTGAATCATTTATGTGGTTTGCTCTATGCTGCAATGCTGTAATTAGGGGAACAGTTTTCTGGGGTTAGCAATTTCCCCATAGCGAAGGCTGCAGCAGCTCTGCCAGCAGGAGCGCCGAGAGGGGAACAAGGGGCCTCCACCACTGTCGAGCCATCGGCTGCACTCAGGAAAGGAAAATCCTTATCAGAGGAAACCCAAAAACCCCTCTTAATAGTTATGGCCAATATTATTATGGGCTGTAAAGGGCTGTGATGCTGCAGATGGAACAATAGTGAGGTAGTGTTCATGGAAACGTCTTGGTCTGTTTTCCTGTGGCTGGATGGTCCCAGCTGGGGTCTGGCTCACCCTGGGTAGGGATCGTGCCTGCTGAGTGGGGCAGTGTGGGTGTCAGCCCAAAAGCAGTGCTGTGCTGTGTCAGCAGTGCCAAGCAGTGCCCCCTGCTCTGCCAGGCACTGCCACGCAGCACATGGGTGCAGCATCTACCCTGCGCTGGCTCTTTGGCAGGGCAAGGATGCTGCCCTCCTCCTCCTCCTGGGTCTCCTCTTGACCCCTGGGTACACCCATCTCCCGGGGTTCATCAGTGCTTCTACAGGTCTGTCCCTCCATCCCAGGGGTGGGCAGACGAGCTCCTCGCTCCTCCTGGCTGCAAAAGCACAGGGACCATCCCTGTGCCACTGCTGCCAGCACGGTGGTGAGCCAGAGGAGAGCCCTCTCCTCCAGACCCTGCAGCAGGGAAACCTGGAGTCAGCTCAGCAAAGCCACAAACAACTGTTTGCAGCCACAGGAGTAAAATTGCGGATTTGGTTGAAAAGCAGAGATGTAAAATACCTTCCAAGTGAGCACAAAGCTGGTGTAGTCCTGCCAGTATGGCAAAACCCTTTCTGAGTCAGCATTTTAATCATTACCATTCCAAACAGATCTTATGTGTTAGAGCTGTCAAAGGACAATTACTGGGAATAAAGTATTCCCCATGTATCAGTGAAGTTCGTTGATTAAAGCCCATGCATACGGTTCAGAAATCTGCTGTGCATTTTCTACATGCACACAGGTCATTTTGGGGTTGCTTTTTGTCAAAGCATTTTGTCAAATGGTTGTCATTTTGTCTTGCTATCCCTGGGGCATGTTGCTGGGTTTTTTGTTTTTTTCTTCTCTGAGAGAGCTTGTACAGCTAAAAAAATGTTGGCGTGTCTGCTCTGTCAGTTCACACATGATATTCCTATCGCACGCCAGGAGAATGTCAGCGTCTCTGGGCGTGAAGCTCTGCCGCAAGCAGTCACTGCCGTCTGCAGGATCACACAGCTATTTGCTTGGCTATTAAAAATGTCCTTTCCAATTAAAGTCACAGGGATCTTAAAAGTCACTGGCAACATCGTCACTTATGCTAGCTGTCAGCAAACAAAGCAGCGTGCTGGGACAAGCCTTCCCGCACCGCTGCAGGTTTTTTTCTACATTTACACCTTGGTCCTGGTGAGCAGAAGCCAATGCTTCTGCAGGGTCATCCAGTCCAGCAAACTGGTGGGACTGTAACGATCCCAGTTGTATTGCTGCTGGACTTTCCCACCTCTGGCAAAAGCAGACTTTGGTCTTGCTGTGTTGATAGATTTTGCACTTAGAATGCTCCATGCAGTGTCCTCACAGTAAAAGAGATTAAATATAGATGTCTCTGCTTGCAGCTGGGTAAACTGAGGCACAGAACTGGGCAGTCTTGAGAGCTGAAGGTAAATCAAGGGAGAGCAGGGCTGGATGTAGCTATTTGGAAGCTAATTTTGTTGCTTTGCTCTGTACGTTGCAGGGCGTGTGTGGGTGAAGCCTGGTCAGGCTCAGGAAGGCGGCAGCAGGGCTGGATGCTGCAGTGGGGCTGAGTGCTCCCCCATCGCAGCCTGGGTTGCCTGATCCGCAGGTCCCCTCTGTGAAACCATGCTGAAGGAATTTCTCTTTGGTTTTCCCACAGCCAAAAAACTTGCTTTTGGTTTGGTCTTGGATAGAGAGGGGGTGGGGAAAGATCTGAAAGGAAAATTCTGTTGAATTTACCTGGTTATGCAGAAAAACTCTGCTGTGCTGGGCAGCTCCGGACCTCAAAGAGAGCTGTCAGCCCCCCGGTGCAGTGCCAGGGCATGAGTGTGCCTTGGCTCCCTGCACTGTTGCAGGACAGGCTGTTTGGAAAGCGGCATTCTGAGCGTCAGCCCGAGCCCCTTGGTTTTATGCATAAAATGTTGATGCTTTGCTACTTATTTTCTTGCTGCATGACCAAACAGCCAGTGCTCTGCACAGGATGATCGAAATCCTGAAGTATTTTGCTATCTGCCCCAAGTCATGAGACAGTAATAGTATATACGGCCCCATGCACCCATAAAACCCTCTTCACATCAGAATAGGGGTTTTAAGAGAATGCAGACACAAGATAAATCAGTTTACATGAGTGCCACACACTTGGCCGGGCAGTGGGTCCCGCAGGGACAAGCTCTCAGCTTTTTGAGACAGTGAGGCCCATGGCTGTGGACAACAGGAAAATAAAGCGGAGACCACTTGCTAAATTGCCTTCGGCAGGTGACACATTCAGACCCCTAGCGTCAAATCCTGCATTAGCTGCCTTCTTTACAATAAAAATCCACCTGGGTAATTAGAAAGCCCCCTCCCTCACTGTGAGATGGAGGTGTTTTATGGTGCTCTCCTGCACCGCTCGCCCCAGGAAGCCACCCATGCCCCCGTGGGTGATGCCATGTCCTTGCCCTGTACACAGCCAGCCATTCAGCAAAGGGGACGTGTCCCTGTGCTGCAAAATACTCCATCACGGAGACTGCAGCCGCGAGGCAATCCTCATGCATGCTCAGCTCCACACAGGAATTGTTTGGTTTGGGGTTTTTTTGTCTTCCCAACTTTCCCATACTTGCAAAAATAAGTCCCTGTGTCTATGCCTGATGCATGGTCCTCAGGGACTGCTCTGGTCCCCAGGGACTGCTCTGGTCCCCAGCAGGATCCCATCTCCCGGTGATGCTGTGGGAGTTCTGCCTGTGTAACAAATATATTTTGATTAATGACTGGTAATTGAGGATGGAGGTGAAACTGAAATCAAGTTTTATGCCACACCTATCCAACAGGCTTCGCCCTCTTCATTCCTGATTTGGCACAGAGAAGTGGTTTGATGTTCACTTAAAACAAGGTTAAAATGTCCAACCGTGGTGGCTTAGGTGTGCTTTCCTAGTGACAAAATTATCTCAAGGACTTTCTGTCTCCTGCCTCCCCACAGCAGTTTGACACCCCTCGGTTGTACCAATACAACCAGTTTCCCTGTCTTTTAACCCTGATTCCCAGCACAGCCTCATGGACGGTGCGATGGGGCCAGGATTGAACCTCACCAGAGAGGCCAGGCAGGAGCAAGTCCAAGGTAAGAGGCTCTGATGCTGAAGGAAACATCCTGGAACAGAACACAGGACCATCAGGTTGCCCAAAACCAGGACCACAGGAGGCTCCAGGTTGCACAGTTTGGGCTTTACATCTTCTGGTTTCAGGATGCAAAAAAATTGGGTTTGGAAACAAATTCTGATTTTTCAGCCACAAGTCAGCTGGGGACAGGGATGCTTCCTAGTAAGGGCTGGCAAGGTGATTTGGGAAGAGCATTAATAGGGGTCAGAAATGGTCCCGGAGCATCACAGAGATCTCAGGTCTGTGTGCACAGGATGTTGAGTTTGGGCTAGAAAAGGGAAGAAGGGAAATGAGGGATGAAAAACTTTTTTTTCTTTCTGTCAGCAAGAGGCAGAGCAAGGGGCTCAAGGGGGAGATTTTATTTGCTGTGGGCCCATGCATGAGACGGGCAAGCATGGCACTGCTGTGGGGGGAAGGATGGGCTGGGTGCTGGGTTGGGGCCCTTCCAGCCCCATTGCTTGCTCTTCTGCTCAGGGGGGGCAGCAGTTGGAGGGGGGCATTCACCCTGTGAGCGGCCTCAGCCCAGCAGCCAAGCTGGGACTTTGCTCACGGGAGGAACAAGGCTATTTCACTTGCAAGCAGACAAAGGGCATTTCTTCCCCCTCCTTCTCCCTGGTTTTGCATTGCATGTTTTAAAGCTGTATGTTTCCGCTATCTGCTCACTCCAGTGACTTCCCGGCTCCCCTCCTAAGCCTCTGTCTCCTTGTCCTCACCTGTTTCCAGAGTCCCAAATGCAGCTCCCTTACCCTCCCAGCATGGGGGCAATGAGCAGATGAGCCTGCAGAGCCAAATGTCTTGATAAAAGCTCTGGCACGTCCCTCTGCAGAGGCGCCAGCAGCGGCATCCCCTCTGCACTGTGAAAGGAG